AGCTCACCAGGGAGGAGAAGCCCTGGGGCCCTGGCTTAGCTGGCTCTCAGTGAAGATGGTGGGCATGAGCTGCTGCTCTACGCCAACATCAGGTGGCCCTGTCCATCTTTATGGTAATGATCCACCACTATGCGTTCATCCTGCTGCAGAACAACAAGAAGCTTAACCAGAAGCAGGGATTGGACAGTTAAGTCCTAATTCGAAGCACAATCAGGTAAAATGGAAATTATATTCCCAGCCAGTCCTTGACATGAAAATTACTTTAACAACCCAGAGGATAGATTTAAAAAAAAAAATCCTATGAGTGATCCCACTATGCTCACTGACATAATGAAAGGGAATTAACAGATGTCCTCCCCATGAGTCTTATATTGTTAAATGAATCAACATTCTCAGGCTTTGTCACAACCAAAGTTGTATTTCCACTGACCCTGTTTTAAGCCTATGCTATAGCAAGGAATCAAATTACTCACATTAACTGCATCCTGGTACTTATGCTATCTATTTGGGCTTCAAAGCATTTACTGTCTCTGATTCTGGGCCAATATAATGCCAATGACCAATCAAAAATTATGCAGGAGCAATGGCTGGAGCAGCCCTGGCCATGCCTGCAGACACCAACAAAGCTTTCAGACAAAGTGGGAAATTTTGGAGTTAATGGATCACCAGTGGGCACTAAATGATGTCAATGAGGAGCTCATAGCCAAAGACCTCCATTTTGAAAGCATGTTCAAAAAGGAATTACAGATCTCTATCTTTTTTTGAAGACCAAGCAGGGATTAGCTCTACTGGAAACTTGGAGTAGCCCTTAATCTTGTAACTTTTGCTTGAAGTGAAACCTCATAATAAAAAAGAGAATGCATGAGCTGACAGGCATGCAGCAAGGATCCTTCTTGTCTAAGCTGGGCTCCCCTTTGTGTTTGAAACTAACATATTATGTGCTGGGTGGCATAAGAGAAAGGGTTATTTTTTAAATGCTTTAAACTTTCTTTCTGGTGACTGTAGAAACGAAAGGCAGACAAAGAGGAAAACTCAAGCTAATATATAAAAACTTAGCAAAAATTCAGTCTTTGGAAGAAATACTGTCAATTATAATTACCATGTGTAATCAGCCTGAGTTCTAACCACAGTAAACTCTTATTTTCTTGAGATGCAAACCCCCTGTAAAATTTATGTAGCTGGTATTTTATAACTTACAAAAGTAATAATTTTATAACTCTACAAAAGTAATAATTTTCATTAATGAAAATTTAGAAACAATGGACGAGCAAAACAAATCTCCCTGTATTGTTCATTTTGAGTCTATAGAATGACATAAAGAACAAATGTGTCAAAACTTTATTCAAATAAACTATTTTTCAGAGTGGCTACTCAGAGGCCTGGGACGGACTTTGCAAAGCTTCCATATCTCTTAATACTGTCCAGGGGAAATCAGTGACCTTGAGACACTGCTGGATTCTCCAGGGCTTTCAGGATGACCAAAGATGGGTTAAACAATGAGAGGTCCTTGATCTGAAATTCAGACTATATCTAATCCACTGGGGGGAAAAAAATCAATGGTTCTGTACTGTATATGGCCACTCAACTGAACTAAAGACCCAGTTATTCTGGATAAGAGAGTTTATATATCATTATAAGAAGGGAGAAAGGGCAATTCGTGGTAAATGCATAAATAAGGGTTGCTCATGAATAATTCTGTCTGGATTAAATGTTCCAGGGAAGCGGCAGGGTGTCATTTCTACAGCAAGAGGTAGGTGTAAGTTGCATGTTGAGAACTATAATAAAAAACAAATAACTCTAAACTCTACAAATTAAACCATCCTGTTTTCTCTGTAAAAGAAAAATCAAATGTAAAAAGTAAAGCTGGAAATCAGAATAAGATTTGTCAATTATAAAAATAAAATAAAAAGATTATATCAATGCTAATATCACGGTTGTGATACTGTACTAACTTTGCAAAATGTTACCACTGGGGGAAAATGGATAAAAGGTACAAGGGATCTCGCTATTATTTCTTAGAACTGCATGTGAATCTATAATTACCTCAATACATTTTAAATTTTAAAAAATCAAATGGAATTACTAAGTATATAACCAAGAAAAATGTATATAGATACATGTACTTATACACACACACGCACACAAATGCTCACAGCAGCATTATCATTATGACCCTAAACTTGAAATAGCCCAATGTCTACAGCAGAGTATGAAGACATTGAGGGCAGTGAGGAAATACTGTTTAACGGGAACAGAGTTTCAGTTTGGGGTGATGAAAAGTCCTGGAGATGGATGGTGCTGATGGTTGCACAACAATGTGACTGTACTTAATGCCACTAAAATGTACACAAAAATGGTTAAAATAGTAAAATTTATGTTATGTATATTTTACCACAAAAAAACTTGGAACAAATATCATGCTAAGTGAAGAAAGCCAGACAGAAAAGGACAAATATTGTATGATTCCACTTACATGTGGTTCCTAGAATAGGCAAATTCATAAAGAGGCAAAATAGAAGTCACCAGGGGGCTTGGGGAGAGCAATAAAGGGGGAGTTGTTCCTTAGTAGTTTCAGAGTTTTTGGTTTGGGATGATGAAGTTTCA